TTACCCTTTCTTCAGCTTTTTTCTCTTTTGTTCCACATCCTACCTATTTTTATATTATATTATTTCATTTTATGTATATGGGTATTTTGCCTGCATATATGTGTAGCTAGAGTTTTCCTGCCTGGCCCACAGTCAAGACAAATCTCTCTCACCTGCCAGTCTCACAGCCGCTCAGACCCAACCAAGTAAACACAGAGACTTACATTGGTTACAAACTGTATGGCCATGGCAGGCTTCTTGCTAACTGTTCTGACAGCTTAAATTAATCCATTTCTATAAATCTATACCTTGCCACGTGGCTCGTGGCTTACTGGCATCTTCACCTGCTGTTTGTCATCGTGGCAGCTGGCAGTGTCTCTCTGACTCAGCCTTCCACTTCCCAGCTTTATTCTCCTCCTTGTCCCGCCTATACTTCCTGCCTGGCCACTGGCCAATCAGTGATTTATTTATTGGCCAATCAGCAACACACTTGACATACAGACCATCCCACAGCATATGTGTCTATGTTCCATATGTGTGCCTGGTGCCTTTGGATGCTGGGAATTGAAATGGTGTCTTATGGAAGAGCAGCCAGTGGTCTTAAAATGAGACATCTCTCCAGTCTCTAACTATTCCACTTTTAAGTTGACCCTACCTTATAAATCACATCCCTGCCAGAAAGCCAGATCTGTCTGTCCAAAGTTCTTTTTGATGATGACACAAAATGGAAACTATAAAGAATCTAAGCATGGACCAAAACGGAAAACAGTAAACCAAATTGCTGTGTCTTCTGAACTCCCCATTTTTTCTCTTTTGATTGTTGAAATTTCACCAACAATATCTTCCATAATTGATTTATGTTTATTCAGCCTGTATATATCTCATTACCAAATCCTATTGACTTTACCTCTAAAAGTATCTAAAATCTTTTCATTTCTGTGTCTGTTCTCCATGGTAACTCTTAGCCAAGTCCATTTCTTATGTGGTCTTGCCATTCATCTACTTGCATCCACTTTGAGTTCTGACAACCTATTCACCACACAGATGTAAAATTTGTTTTTTAAAGTTTGGATCATGTCATATCTCTCAAATTTCATCTGGAGGCAAAGTCCTCTCTGACTGAATTCTGTCCTGTCTGCAGATTCTACTTCTGCTTTCCATTCTGCTATAACCATTGACCATCTTTCTGTCTGGAGAGCAGGTCCACTTCACATGAGATGTTTCCTCTGTCATATCCCCCCCTTCCATATCTGCATATCTTCTTCTTTATTTTCATTTCAGATCTCCATTTAATCACTTCCTAGGGGTAGTACTTTTAGTCATTAGCAAATCACTTTACATTATCATGAATCATTTCTAACTCTTGTTTTTATATCAGTTTATTGGTATATTGTTTGTCTCCTCAAATTAACTATCAATTGCTTCACTCTCCTCTCTGGAAATACTGCTGTAGAGTTATGACTGAGGACACAGCTAGCTCAGGCACACAATAAACATGAACTATTTGATCAGGGGAATTTATTTCATTTTCTATCTGATTTCCTGTGTTGCCATTATTTGGAAGTCATTCAGAATTTCACTTTCTTCTTAACTATTGGCAATCTCACTGGTTTCAATTTCACCTATAGACTTAATATGGGATTCCCATTTTCTTTGGCATGGACATTAATGAGCTATTGATAGGAGGAAGCAAATGAGAATCCGTTGGGGATGACATTCAATGCAATTATCTCAGAGTATTTACAAAGTCCCAACCATCACTGATTTGCAGTCTAGGCCCAATGTTCTTGTAGCAAGGATATTAAGATTTTTTTATTGTGTTTTCTGGAGTTTCTTTCAGGACTTTTATTCCTTATAACAACTTCAGCCTGAAACAGCCAAGTATTAGAAATCACTCTTCTCAGGAAACACCCACATGGCACAATTGTGGCCTTCCAAGAATCCCCTGGATCATAAATGAGTGTCATTGGACTCCATCCTCGTTTTGCCCCTGGAGACTCTGCACTTGCTTCCATTATGACATCCTTGAACTCTACTTGCATAGGCTGCCTGTCCTTTCTGGGCTTGTCTTTGGGTATGTGCTGATGCCATTCTTCACTCTAGCCTGTGCAGCAGATTCTTCATTGGAGATTATTCCACATAGTGGGGCTTCAGTCTTCTCCGGTTTCTTTCTCCATTTGTACTTAGCTTTGTCTTGAAGCTTCTATCTTGATTCTGAGAGTATGATGTGACCTCATCATCTGCCTCACGGTGTCTTCTTCTCTGTATAAAGTAAAAATAGTTGCCCTATGCCCTGTTGGTGAATGTATGAGCAGAGGGCCCCTCTCATCTTGAGGTGCAGGTGGCACTCATTGAAGCTGGCTCTGCACATGTTGCTAGCTCATCTTTATCAGTGAGGAAATTCTTGGTGAAGCCTTGAACTCAGGTTGGCATTATTCTGTGAAAACAACAACCAATCTGTTTAAAGTCATATCAACAAACAGGCTTGAAAAAGAGACATCACAAAACCTTAACCCCTGGGACTACCAGACAGAGATAACTAGTTAGTGGTCATGGGAAATTCTAAAACTGCCCTTATTATTGTAGGAAATTCTGAAATACAAAAGCAAGGAAGCTGGAATCATGCTATTTTCACACAGTTCAGGTCTCCCCGCCTTCTTTTGCACTAGTTTAGCCTTCAACTTAATTTTTTAAAAATGGCTGAATTAACCGAGCCCTTAAAATTCAAAATAGAAGATGATAATTTAGGAATTCATAAAAACTTCTTGACAACATGATCACTTTTCTTTTATGACTGTGGATCAAGATGTACCATCAACCTAAGCCTTGTTGTCAGACTGACTACCCTAGATGGGTTAAGATATTATCCCCAGTACAATTTTTATAGTATTTTTATTTTATAATTAACTTAATTTCACATATCAGCCACAGATTCCTGTGTCTTCCCACCCCCCCAGCCCTCCCCCTCAACCCACCCCCCATTCCCACCTCCTCCAAGGCAAGGTCTCCCCTGGGGAGTCAGCCCAGCCTGGTAGACTCAGCCCAGGAAGGTCCAGTCCCCTCCTCCTTATACCAAGACTGAGCAAAGTGTCCCAGCATAGGCCCCAGGCTCCAAAAAGCCAGCCCATGCACCAAGGACAGGCCCTGGCATGTAAAGCAAAGGATAACCAGACTGAAACTCACAACTCCAGGGAGGCTACCTAGTAAAGAGGACCCTAAGAAAGACACAGGGATCCCCCAATAACAGAGAAATAGATGAGATCTACATGAGCAAACTGGGGGTGAGGGGTAATGGAGGGCAAGGGTCGGGGAGAAAGAGAGCTTAGGGGAGAGGGAGGTCCCAACTGGATCAGGAGCAGAGTGGGAGAATGGAGAGGGAGATACCATGATGAATGAAGACTCGGGGGAATAGGAAGAAGCAGAGTGCTAGAGAGGTCCCCAGAAATCCACAAAGATACCTCCACTGTAGACTACTGGCAATGGTTGAGAGAGTGCTTGAGCTGACCTGCTCTGGTGATCAGATGGCCGAACATCCTGGCTATCATGATAGAACTCTCATCCAGTGTCTGATGGAAGCAGATGCAGAGATCCACGGCTGAGCCCCAGGTGGAGCTCCAGGATACCAGTACTATTTTTAATCTGTGTGTTTGGAAAAAAAGATAAGATAGGAACACAGAGGGGAATTAACTGTAGAATAGAGAGATTAAAAAGTAAACAAAGGAGGGATGGAGCAGGTTTCTGTTGTTAATGGAAAGGTGATTCCTAGAACCAGTGTATGGAAGTCAATTAAAATCATACTGGAAAAACTGAGTGGATGGATCAAAGAGGGCCTTTCATATTCCTTTCCTTTTTCATGCATCTATCCATTTAACACTTCCATAGCCCTGATAAGTATTGGGGCTATGAAGATAAGTGGAAGGGTCCTTGACCTCAAAAAGTTCACAGTTTAGTAAGAGTCAAACACATTTTCTGAAATGATATATAATATAAAGGAAGAAGCATGTAAAAAAGATTCATATGTGAGGTGTCAAGAGGTCATTCAGAGAATAAAAAGATCGTGTTTCCTAACCTCTGAGAGCTTAAAGTCCTGAATACCTGAATATAGGAGAAGACCCTTATATAGGAGGAGGTTCAAAGAATTGTATTTTGTATCTAGAGAAGATTTAAGAACCTGAAAGGACAAGAAGGATCTTAGAGGATGAAGAAGCCAAGCACACATCTTTGGGCTATATCCTCTGCTTTAATCAAGATATAGAGAGGTACTTGATATTATCAAGAAAGAGAAGGAAGCAAGCATATGGAATCAGTAAAAGTATTCTTTAAAGAGGTGCATGGTCTGCATCCACAAAGGACCAGGCCTGTCTTATCCTTGGACAAAAGATGGAATAGGACATCTCATAGCAGTTCAGACACTTACTAGCCATACCTACAAGCCTTTTAAGGTGACATTGGAAGGTGGAATAGTCTCAACATCCATTCTGAGCAAATAGGAAATTGCTTTTTTTGAAGTTTGATCTAAAAGACACACACACACACACACACACACACACACACACACACACACACACACACCCTTCCTAAAGGGCACACCCACAATACTCAATTTATCTGTGTCAGAAATTCCAAGGGCTGAATTGATTGTGCTGTAAATTGAACCTTCAGTTTCATTCTTAGTATTTGAAATGTGACACTCCATCCTCTGAGCCCTCCTGGACACACATGCCTGCCTGACTCTGTGTGTGTGTGTGTGTGTGTGTGTGTGTGTGTGTGTGTGTGTGTGTGTGTGTTTCCTCAATTCTAATGTGCTGAAATATTTCTACAGGTCTGGTGCCATTCTGTCTGTTCTGGGAAAAGCAATTTTGATCAAATCTTATAATATAGGGAGATGCTGTTGATTAAGGATTGCTAATCCAAATTGCCAGATAGCAAGATACAGAGGAAACTTTAATAACCTAAAGTATGGTGGTCAAAGATTGTGACTTTATTTTCAGCTGTCTTCCATGTATTTGTTTCTGCCTCAGGGTGAGTTTTGATGAGGGCCACTCCTGGAACAAATATGGTTTCACATTGCTGCCTCTCTTCGTGGATGGGGCCTTGGTGGAGGCAGGAGTAGAGACCCACATCATGACGTGAGTACTTCTTTACTGTGGCAGAGAAGAGACTGAAGACCTCTGTTCTCCTTCACCTGTAGACTCAGTACTTTCCTGGGGAATACAATAAGAAATCATTTCTTCTCAGGTCCAGACTTTCCTCATCTATGAAATGGAAATGTTTATATTTACACTCATCAACCATTATAGCTACTGACAGGATCACAGAGACTAATCTCCTAATTGACCAGCGAAATTTCAAACAGATTTAAAGACGAGGAAGCATCCATTCCCTTTACCTCAAACTGAACAGCATAGAAAATTAAGTCTATGATGTATTTGAGAAATTTGGCATTCACATGTAAGTACCTTCTCAGTGTCCAACTTGGACCCAGCCTACCACTCTGGTCAGAATTGAATGGTCAGATATCAATCCCTACATAGAACTGCTACAGGTCAACCAAGATAGGGAATAGAATACATCCATGACTAATTTTTACATTGGAATTGTGCTATAATACAACTTTTCTGGAGATGGCTGTTGTATGGTGTGAATAAAGATTTCCTCCAGAGCTTGCTGCTCAGGGGAAAAAAAAATGACAGCACCTAGTATGTACCAGTTATTATTCAAATGGACAATTCAGAAAAAATATCTCAACTTTATCCTATTACTTAAATAAATAAGATGGGCCAATGACTCTGCTTTGGAACCCAGAATACTGTGTCAAAGATTTATATTTTTGTCAGGAATTCCAGGAAGTGAATAAAATACTAGGAACACTTCTATCCCTCACTTCAACACTTGTTTGAAGATTTTGGTACATGAGCTGACTTTCTCAAATTACTCCCCATCCTTTACTTACTCATTAGGAATAAAACAGAGAGCTTTTGTCTTTGTAGGACTTTCCCTAATGTGACTCAGCACAAAGGTTGGGTTCTGGTTGTAAGTTCTACAGGGTATAAGCACCTGCATTCAAGAGGCTGTATAAGCTGCCTCCTGACAGCATTCAAGCCAGGCTTCATGGATTTCCCAGTTCAAGTCTGACATGGCCTTAGAATCTTGGCCAGTGGCCCCAAATTTGGCCATTCCTTTTTTTCATTTGTCAAGAAACTTGCCTATTTTGCTTATCTTTAGCTCATAGCTTAAGGTATCCTGCACACTCTTTTGTGAGACCAATTTGAACTTATTGCATGATTCTGTTGGGCATAGCTTTGAACAATACCATATACACACTAATCCGTCAATGGCCAGGTATTCTCTGGATTTAGGATGCAGTTTAAATGTTGTGTACTCATAATCTTAAATGTCAATAATCTTGTCCTTTATGTGGAGTTGAGCTTGTTACATGAGTATGAAGGGAGACTGAACTCAGAACAAAAGTACTTACTGAAAGGATGAGATAGTGTTCTGTCATCCTTCCTTTCTTTGAGGATACAGCAGAGCTTTGGTACCTCTTCTGTCTTGCCTATGAAGATACTTCAAATATGCAGCATGGTTATTCAATATAAGAGGTGGGGAGTGAAAAACATACTTGTCTAATGAAATTAAGATGAGTCTTAGAAGCATTCATCAAAACAAACAACCGATTTTTAGTTCTTGCTATAAACTTTTTAAAATTTTTACTTATTATTTGAGAACTACATACTTGAATACAGTGTGTTTTGGTCATAGCCATCCCTTGCTCCTTACCTCTAATTTTCTGAGAACCCCTACACACATCTCTCCCAACTTCATGTATTCTACTTTTTCCTTTTAATTTTTTGAAACATAATTCAATGGGTCCACTCGATGCTGCTTGTGTGTCTACGGATATAAGGCTGTCCACCAATGAATAGGCAACCTATCAGGAGCTGTATCACTGAAGAAAACTGACTCTCCCTCTGCTAGCAGCTTGTCTACTGCCTTGTATTTCCTTATCTAGTGGTGGGGCTGTGAGTCCTTCCTCTTGTCATGCTGGATTGTCAACCAGCTTGATTTTGTGCAGGTCTTTGTATAGGCTACCACAGCTGGTGAGAGTTCAATAGCCCTGCCATGTTTAGAAGACACTAAATCTCGATAGTCTTCTAAGTCCATTTCTACTCTCCTCTTCACGGATGTTTCCTGAGAATTGAAGTGTGTGTGTGTGTGTGTGTGTGTGTGTGTGTGTGTGTGTGTGTGTAATATAAATGTCCCATTTTGGGACGAGCATTCCATAGTCCCCAATTCTCTTCACTTTGGTCAGTCTTATTCTCTGTATTTACCTCCATTCGCTGCAAAAAGAAGCGTAATCTACAGGTATAAAATTAAATATTTATAAGGCAGTTGACTACTGTATCAACTTAGCCAACTCAAAGTAGTAAGTTCTCCTTTGTAGTTTGCCTGTGACCTCTCCAGCCAAGAGTTTCTGGCTAAGTTTAAAGAACTAGGCATGAGTTCCCTTCTAGTTTATAGTCCTTACATCTAATCAGAGAGATGTTGGTTGCAGCTAAGACATTTGTGCCACTGTTGAACAAACGAGAATATCTAAGCAGACCATTAATTATTGTACTGTACAGGGCTGATAGCTGGACAGAACTTTTCTACTTTGGAAGCTGCATAACAGTTTCTGGCACTTTTGAATTTTTTGTTTGTTTGTTTGTTTTTTCGAGACAGGGTTTCTCTGTGTAGTTTTGGTGCCTGTCCTGGATCTCCTCTGTAGCCCCGACTGGCCTTGAATTCATAGAGATCCAACTGGCTCTGCCTCCCCAGTACTAGGATTAAAGGTGTGTGCCACCACCGCCTGGCCACTTTTGAATTCTTACCATCAGGTAAGAGGCTCCTAGATCAGTACTGCCTTGATTTCCCCAAGACCTGTCACTCAAATGAAGCAAGCAAATGTGAAACGTGGAAAATATGCTGAATGAGGTAACTTAGACCCTACAAGCAAACAACACATGTTATCTGTTACATACGGGTTTAACTTGGGAGGTTTAGATTTGGATGTACAACTTGGAGTACCGATAGAAGTTAGAAAATTAGAAAGAGATCATTGGAGGAGGGGAGGAGGAGGAAGAGCTAAAGGAGGAAGGAGATAGAGAATACTAGTATAAAGTGGAGAAGAGGAATAACTTAAGGGGTAAGATTTAAGTGGGAAAGAGAGATTGGAGAGTAAATCAGGTGGTGTGGGATAAACAACACTAAGTTTATTTGAAAGGGCCACTTGGAATCCTACCATTTTATAAGCTTTCTAAAAACTAATTACATATATAGATCTTGGTTTTAGATGATGTTCCTCTTAGAAGCCATAATTTATCAAAAAAAAAAAGAAGGAGGAGGAGGAGGAGGAGGAGGAGGAGGAGGAGGAGGAGGAGAAGCCTAGTGCCAGGCAGGCATGGGCCACCTCTCTGAATTGTTGGTCAGGGAATCCAAGAGACTCCAAAAACAATACAGTCTATTGCCAGTACTCTTGTTTCCTACCAGAACTTGAGGGAAATAACATACTACTGTTTTTAAATTTTAATTAAATAAGAGTTTCTCTTATGTGGGGAATAATATAGAGTTTTGGGATGTTTAGAACAGGGAGAAGGCCTAGTATCGTTACCAGGATGCTCCATCTGTTTCCATTTCAGGTTTGAAAAGACTTTTAACCTAACTGGTTTACTAAGGCCAATTAGTGTTTTAATTTCACAGAATGCAAATAGAATTCAAAAGTTATATATTCTTTTGGAATTGTGAGAATAAGGAGTAGATTTGGGGACAAGGGTTCTTCCCCTTGCCATTGAACTTTACTAATGAAACAGAATGCTTGAATTCTGTGAACTCACTGTTAACCTCATTGTAGCTTACTGATGACCATGGACAAAGAGGCTACATTGTGGTGCTGTTGATTTTCATCTTGATTTGCAAAATTTTATGTTTAATAGTTTTTTCATTTAAAACACTCCATGGGTGCAATATATGTCACAGTCTGTCGGATCTTAGAAGATAAAAATGTTAAAGCAATGCTCTCCCTTTAAGGAGATCTCAGGGCAGAGTGATGGGAGTAAGTGTAGATACACTAGTTATCAGGGGACTCTGGCTCCTAAGCCAGGAGGTAAGCGTAAGGATGTGAAGACTTCACAACACACACACATGCACACGCATGCACGCACTCATGTACGCACGCACGCGCACACGCATGCACATACAAACAAAATGGGAGATTAAGTTAAGTTCCTATTAGGAAAGATGTTTCTACATTATATCTCTTGAGTGTTAATTGTATTTATCAGTTTTGTACTAACACAGAATTTAGCTATGTATACTTATTGGGTAAATGAATTATTGAATGAATGAATAAGCCTGTGAGTCACAAGAATCAGAACTGTGTTGTGGTCTTTATGACTGGTCTGGCCCATAGCCCTGGAATTTTTATAAAATGAATTATATACCCCCAGGATTTCTGTCATTTAAAGATTAGGATGTAGCAGTGTCTGGTGGTTGGGTTGGAATCAAACTAGTTGTATCTGCTCTCTGAGCAGAGTTGTGTGTGTGTGAATACAACAAAATGCCAATAGAATGACATAAGGGTAGAACAGGGCAGCTGGTGAGTGAGAACTCCATGGGGAATGGTTTGTGATCCCTCCTGTGAGAATCTGTCCAGTTCTACATTGTATATCTTCTGGGGAATATGCATGGGGGAGACAAGACAATGCCCAGCACGGAGGTTTGTGATTTGCTTGCCTTTATTGTTCTTTTTTCTATTGTCATTTCAGATGTTATTATTTCAACATCTCCCTGGTAACTTTGACAGCAGCCATCTAGTCTAGCCTAATTCACAATGAAATATGACCATTCTTATTACTTAAGGCTGAGGATACACTGGTTGATTGACATGCCAGAGTGCCTATTGTGATCTCAGGCAGAGGCTCTTGAGGTGATGGGATGCCTGTGGATGCTAGAGCACTTGGCCCCTTTGGTCCACCACTTTTATGAAAGGTTGTTTGCCCTCCAAAATAACACCTTAAGGGAAGCTCTTTTTCTCTTGGCTCAGACAAAGAATCAGATGGAAAAGCTTCTTTGCCACATCCTCAATACTGTA